GAGTGATGGTAAAACAAAGGAAGAACTCACAGCCGCGGAGGAAGAACCAGTGACAGGCACACCGACGATGGCAACAGCGACTCATTCGAGCAACGCATGACCGGTGATTGAGAAGGTAGGAGGTAGAAGTCGATGAGAGACAGAGCAAGGATTTGGCATCTGCTCTCTAACTCTCTCTCTCTGCTCTCCCAAAACGTTTGGAGAATGCTGGGAAAAAGAAAAAAAATCTGACAAAAATGAGGGCAGATTTGTAATTTCATAAAGTTTAAAAAAAAAAAATAAAACCCTTAGGGGCTGATTGGATTCGAACTTGATACCCTTTTGATGGACTATCTAAATGGTTTCCACTGCACTAACTTCTCTTCTTATCAAACTTATCCTAAGGATTAATATAAGTACTATTAAAACATAAACTTGTATATATATATATATATATAATTTTATATAAAATTCATAGGTCATTACAGCGGCAAACACGAGAAAGGGGTCGACTAGAGCTGAAAATCTTAGGGCATCGCATTTCTGGAGTTGGGACTAAGTAAAAAAAAAAAAGTGAAAAATACAGAGTTTCGCGTTCGCCCATGTCTGACCCGCATTCGCCCATGTCAACCCGTTTCGACTCGCGTCCACCTATGTCCACCGAAAATTGGGAAAAGGGCTGCAGCGTTTTCGTGTCCTGAATGCGTGTCCGTGTCGGATACATATCCAGTTAACCCTCGAATGTAACAATAACAAATAATAAAAATAATATAAGTTGTCACTTACCTCGCTGTAGCAATCCTAAAAATCTCTAAGAACAAAAAGTAATTTTAGAGCAAAATGGTTGTTAAAATTTAAACTCTATTGTAACTCAAGGGAGAAAAACACACCCAAAAAAAATGAGAGAGAGAAAATTTTATTTGTTCACGGAAAAGTATATCGTTTGAGCATTAGGAATAATAATTAGAATTTTAAAGTTCATAAGAAAATTTAGATGGTTAAAATATTTGAATGTGATTCTCTTTTTCCCTTTCAAGTTTCAACACACTGTTTTTGGTCCAGGCAGTGTCTTCTCCAACATCAGCTTCCTTTATTCTATAACCACATTCACGACTCTCTTTTTCTCTCTGTAAGTTTCTAAGTAACGAATCTGATTGAAACAAACGTTTCGCTTTGTTTCCTGCAGCCATGTGCTCCTATACGTCTTTTTCTCGGATCTCATTTTCATTTCTTCTTGTTCCTCAGCTTTAAAACTCTCTTGTTCTTGAGTTGCTTTCATCTCTTTCAAGTTTATTTCTTCTCTAGCTACTCTTCCGATTGCACATCTTGTTTTGCACTATTTGCTGCCGATACTTTAGCGTCTTCTCATTGGTTCAACACCATTGTTGAAATTTGATCAAGGGACTTGCTAGAATGAGAAATTCAGACCAGGTGGAAATTCCTATGAAAGCGAATGATTCAATATCCTGGAAGGTGGCATGCTACGAAAAGCTGCAGGAACTGTTGAAGAAGCAGTTTAGATCATCAGTTAATCAAACTCAAATTGGCGTTGTTAACGATAGCATGAGTTATGAGTTGTACAACGCTGTTGTTGATGAGCATGAAGATGTAAATAAGTTTCTTGATGTCTTGGAGAAAGTTTGCAGAGAAAAACAACTTGATTGTTCCACCATTATATATCAAGCCACTCCTTCGGGTGATTCGTTGCTTCATGTTGCAGCTGAATACGGGAGAACAAGGATTGCAGAGCTGCTTGTTGATAATAATTTTTTACTGATTGTGACAAACAAAAGGAAGGACACTGCACTTCATGTTGCTGCAAGAGCTAAGAGTATTGAAGCGATGAAGGTCATCCTGTCCAAATTTGACGATGCTAGCAGTAAGAATAACTTTATAATGTTACCCAATAAGGTTGGGAATACAGCTTTGCACGAAGCTATTATAAGCAAAGATCCTGAGGGGTTTGCTTTCATTTTAAGTGAACAAAGTGAAAGTACTTTGTCGTTCTATTGGGACACTCACCCAGCAGATTCTCCAATGTATGTGGCAGTCCAAAGTGGGAACGCTGAAATTCTTCGTCGTCTCTTGCAAATTCCATTTCCATCAGACGGGTCATATACAAGAGCCGTGGAAACTCTCCACTTCATGCCGCCATATCAGAACGCAATATTGGTGTGTGTGTGATGACAAATTAATGGATCAGTGATCTGCTTTTTTGTTTGATCCACTTTTATTTATATATTAAACATGTCTGCTTTTATTTATGTGTAGCTCTTTTCAAGGAGATAGTAGACAAAAAAAAGAGTTGATGTTCCTCGGAGATGAAAATGAAAGCACACCCCTTCATTATGCAGCACTCACTGGTTACGTGGAAGGTGTTCGTATACTATTAAACAAATCCACATTTGTTGCCTTTCAACAAAACGCAAATGCAAATCTTCCGATTCACGTTGCTTGTGGTGAAGGCCGTGTTCGGGTGGTTAAAGAATTTCTACGCATACAAGGGCCTTGTACCAGTTTGTGGCTCAATAATGAAGGCCGAAACATTCTTCACATTGCAGCAATGAGGGGGAAAAAACACGATGGTTAAATACCTATTGAAGCATCCAAAGATTGATTCTAAAACTGTGAATGAGAAAGACCTGAATGGAGACACACCGCTGCATCTGGCTTCAAGAAAGTTGCATCTTTGGACTCTACTGCATCTTTCACGTGACAAGAGAATAAAAATGAACCTTGTAAATGACCAGGGTTTAACAGCTAGAGATATTGTCCGATCGCAGAGAAACTTTCCAATGACTCGTCGAGAGGTATGATTTATGAGCATCTTTATACATTGTGTTCTATTATTATCTTTCTCTGTTCTTACAGGTTCTAAACATCTACTTGTTTGGTTTGATCACCTTGCAGCTCGGAGCAGATGTGATTCTAGGAATTGCTGGTGGTGCCGCGCGGGCCATTGAAAATAAACAAAGGCAATCACAACCTGTGGCGAATAAAGAATGGAATGTGAATGATGGGGCCAACACGCTCATAATTGTGGCCGTACTGGTAGCCACAGTGACATTTGCAGCCGGTTTCACAGTGCCAGGAGGGCTATACAGTTCGGATGACTCAGTCCCTAAGAAAGAGGCATGGCAGTGTTGACAGATCAAACCCTGTTCAAAATATTTATGGTTTTCAACACGATTTCTATGTATTGCTCCACTATCGGTTCTGTTATTCTTACTTGGATGCATCTGGGTGATCGTCGTTTTTCATTGCGAGCTTTTTATATCTCTAGGGCTTTTGTCAATTGGGCTCTTATAACCATGACAGTGGCATTCATGGCTGCCATACGTTTGGTTGTCAGCAATAACGACTTGTTTGCAGATCTTATAAGTGCCATTGCATTCATCTTCATTTTCCTTAACCTATGTCTTTGGTTTATAGGACATTTTCCTTTGGGATCACGCCTTCCAATTTACGTCAAGTTGGAGAACTTAGTCTCTGGATTGTTCTTATTTTATTTTATGGGACCAAGGATGATGTAGTTTGTGATGTGGATGAAATCCGTAAAGACGATGAAGATGGTATAGCTAACCCAGTCAACGCCACCACCCAAGAGAAGAACAAAGTCATCTAGTGTTTTGTGCCGATCGATGATCACACTGGTATTGAAGAAGTTCTAACTCTTCAATTTATTTTATTTTGGATGCGCTGGGCTCGTCAATGTATTGAAAAATGCATTTAGTTCAGAACGTCAGCAAGCAAGTGTGATGAGAGTTGAGCTCACAACTAAATAATTTAGTCCTGTGCGCAGTAGAAAACTTTTTTAATTATCTTTTAATTTTGTAATAGCTGAAGTTAGGTTAATAAGAATTGATTGATAGTATATTTATTATTATTTGAGTTCATATATGTTATAATAGATTTACTACTACTTAGCTTATTGCAGAAGATGATACCACATGCGTTCATGTTGTGCTTGCAATCTCATCCAACTTCGAATTACGCATTGAAGATAAAATTATATTCGGCCCAATGTTATGCTGGTTTGATTTATTATATATTGTTATGATTTAAGAAAAATTACAATATTAATTTAGAAACAAAAATGAATACTTACATTGTAAAAATTTAAATTATTCCCAAGTCTAACCACTCAAAATAATGAGATCATTAATGTCTTTTCTGGGGACTCTGACGTAATGTGTTTCCCAATGATCTTTTCAATTACATTTATTTCATTAGAAAATTCATTCATGTCAACCACCACTGAAGCCAACTGTTTCAAATTATCTTGCACCGGTTGGAGATTGGAGCCCAGAGATTCTTTTTATTATAGAAGTTCTTATAATTAATTTATAATGAAAATTAGAAATACCTATGATATTAATTAAAAAATAAAAATTGTAATATTTTCATACCTCTTTAGTAACCTATCGGATTAGCTTTTTCAACCAAATAATGAAATTATACTGAGCTTGTCCTATTGTTTGCACCTCATCAATAGGGAATAGGATAGAGTATTAGCATTTACAACCTCTTCAACCATCACCTTTACTAGTTATGTTGTATCTGTTGGTGGTGGACTATACTTGCATGGTTATACACTTTTTTATATGCAATTACTCGTTTCACATAAAGCATGCATGGAATTCCTTGATCTGATAGGCTAGAATCACACACTGGATCTGTAACACTATCATATTTCAATGCTTGTTGTGGTTGCTGTCACGCCCTAAAAATTAGACGTGATCGGCACGAGATATATGCATAACATATATCCCTTAAGCCTTAATTAAAGAAACTTTAATATAATATTTTAATTCATTTAAAATAGGATAGAAAATCATTGTAACAATTTTTTTAATAAAATATTCTTAAACTTTTGTAAAAATGTTTAACAAAACCTCCCCGAAAACATAGAGCCTCAAAAAATATTTCATCACAATCTATGACATCAACTCAGCAAAAGAGAACTCCTCTCCTCCACAACAATCAAATAGCACAATATATAATTAGGACTCTAACTATAATCTATGTGGAGCACCTAAAACATTATTTGTAAAAATACGATATATGAATTATAAATTTACATCAAAATAAAAATTAACCAAAATGGTGTCTCAACTTCAGTCCAGAAGCAAAATGCCCTTAAGGATCTAATGGAGGTACACGGTCCGCTACGCTATCTGAGACCAAAAATATTTTTTCTAGTGAATAACGTCCCAACAATAAATAATTAAACATAAAAAAAATGTAAACATTATGTAAGTTAAAGAAGCGACGATCTTTATAAAAGTTGAATAAATTTCAAAATAAACGATTTTATAAAATGTTTAAATAAAATCTCGAACCATTAAAATCTCATATTAAATAATGTTATCACTTGATTGCAATGAAGCAAATAAACAAAATCAATAATTATAAATAATTTACTAATTAAAATCAATGGGATGTAAAATTACCAAATTATCAAATTCATATTATAGGGACTTATCAGAATAATTAACAAACGTGGACATATAGTCCACAAGGGCAAATAACCAAACGTGGCTCTTGCCACGAAAACAAACGTGAACACATAATCCACGAGAGCAAATAACCAAACGCAGCCGAAGCCACGAATCAAATGTGGACACATAGTCCACAAGGGTATGTAATCAAACGCAGCCGAAGCTACGAAACAAACGTGAGTACGATGCTCACGAATAACCATCCCTCCGTTCCACGTGCGTTGGCCATCGCACGGGGCTAGTACCTCCTATACACACCCTGCTAGCTAGGTGTACCATGGCGCGCCAAGGGCTAACGGAACTGCCGTTAGCAACCAGTGATCTATATAAAGTCCCTTTTTAAAACCATTTTCAAACATGCGAGAAAATCATCACTTTTAAGATACAGTTCTCATCCTCAAAATCAAACTCGCATGAATACTTTTAAACATTAAAACTTGCCAAAATTAAATTTCATATCCGATGCTCATGCTTGCATTTATTGAATAAAGAAAAATTTTCAACGTCGAACTCGCATGAATCATTCTCTGTATCAATTCAATATTTGATAAAATAAAAATTTCATAATCAAAGTTCAAACTTGACTTGATTGATCAAATAACATTTCAAATTTGTAAAGCTAATTTCTCAAATAAAGAAATGTTAATCAACAAATATCCAATAACCGCATTAATGCTATTAAATGATTTCCAGAAAAACGTAATATTTTAGTAAAGGAAATTTCGATTGAAAAAAATTAGTTGGGACGCTATCCACTTACCTGTAGTATCCTCAAGGCTCCAAACTCATTCCTTATGACTCCATTTGAGCTTCCCTCCTTCCAAACATCCTATAATATATAATATATAATAATATTTTAACAGACTTTATTTTTTTTAAAACCAACAAGACCCCATTTTGAGAGCACCTACTCAACTAAAATTAACAATAATAATTTTAAATTTTTAAGAACACAATTCATTCATAATTTTTTTTTCTCTTAAGCTTTTTACCAAACATTTAATGTGCGACATTCCAAACCATTCAATAAAACAGGAAACTTTTAATTCTATTACCCAACCATTTCCAAACATTCAAATATAACCTCCAAAATGATAATGTACTTTATAACCCTTTCAATTTTGTAACTCTCAACAATTCAAACTCAAATAAGACCTCAATAACTTCTTAAATAAACTCCTTTGCAATGCTCAAATTAAAACTCTACTAAATAACATTTGAATCAATCATCCTTTTTGCCTCAATCATTAGAAATTTAGAAAATACAGTCAAGCAAAAACTCTCCGAGCATTTAATCAAACAATTTATGGGTATCAATATTTAATCTCATATTAATCTCTTCTTCCTCAATATCACTTCCTTAAAATTTTCGATAGCAATGCTATAATGAATTTCAATAAAAATTCAAACCCACTCCATCATCTCCTCCTCTTATACGACCACAAATTTCATCTTTAATCAAGCTTTTCCTTCATACACATATATACAACCAGTCACGTTCAGCAGCAGCAGTAGAGGAGAAAGTTTTTGCAACTCAATTCATCAACTCACACACCCGCTCGCATGAAAATAAATATGGAGAAGACTTGAAGTTCTTGTACCAAAAATTTCCGAACAAAGCCAGCAAAAGGTAGAAGAAATCGCACCTTAAGCTAAACAGGGGAGGGAAATTCCGAACACGATGCATCAGAGGGGGGGAGGAATACAGCCACAACAACCAACCAAGAACCAAAGTGACTTACAAATAGATCCTCCAGCTCTAACTACTCAGCTCCTCGGACACCGACAACACCAGAACGAAAATAAAAGCAGGAAAAAGATGAGGAAGACAGCAACAGTTATGAACTCCTCCACGGTCACCAGCTACACGCTGCAGGATGATGAAAAAAGAAGAAGAACGAGATGAAGACAGTGACAGAGGACGGAAGAGCTGGATGAAGATTCGAAACATCTAGCCCAAATCCTCCAGCTTCCTCTGACCAGAACGCTATGCACCACCAAAAAGAGAAGAAAAGAAAAGGAAAATTTTCAGACTAAAGGGGAAGGCTTGACCGGCAGCACGACATTGGAAACTCACCGGAGAAATCAAAGAAGAGCAGAGTTAGAACCCTTGTGTTGAAGGATCCAGAAGTCTCTGTTTTTTTTTTTTTTTTTTTTTTGTACGTGGTCTGACCGAGAGATGGGATAATAAAAGCTCAGACATTAGGAAATTGCAAAAATTACAAAAGAGGCATAACATTTTTTCTTAATAATATAAGAGAAACGGCCTTTTTTGTAATTTTTTCCAAAATTTTAAACTAATAAAATTTAACCTATTGTTCAAAAGAATTCAAACTCTGGACCTTCAAATAAACTATTAGCATAAGTTTCACTAAATTACCACTTTTCATTTGTCAAAAAACTAATTTAAATAAATATAAATTGAGAGAATATATATATATATATATATATGAAATTTCAAGGTCATTACAGTTGCATCTACAGATTACTAATCATTGATTGCATTTCCATTATCATGCTTGAATTGCATTCTGCTATCATCACTTGCACTTGCTGTATTGGTACAAGATTAGATAGTGGAGGTTCAAAATATTGTCTTATACCCATGCCTTTTGGAAGCCCCCTAATATGGTTGGGGTGCTCTTTTCTCCCTAAGGCTGTAGTCAATATATCCTTTCTACCAATAGACACAAAGGTCCCTTCAGAGAATGCTTCTATAAGAGCATCCTAGAACATGCAAGCAAATAGAAACCAATGTCGTTAAAAAATTTTAATCATATGATTAAGATATTGACTATAAAAATACTTACTTTGTAATGTAATGTCCTACAGACTGGACGTGCATCCAACACTACATAATCATTTCCATACAATATACAGTCGTCGGGGCAAGTATATATCTTTTGGTATCCCAAACCCATTAGACACAAATTTTTTTTTTTTGCCTCATGGTAACTACATGGAATTGTATTTTCCTCTAGAAGCATTTCTTTCAATAGTCTGAGCAACTCTGTGAAACTATTATTACTCCACCCATATCTCGCTTTCAAGTTAAACAACTTTAACACTGCTGTTAGTTGTGTATATTTTGTACATCCTAGATACAAAGGCATTTTTGAATCATTGCATAAGCTACCATACTTGTGCACTTTCTTAAAGGCTTCAATGCCAATATCACATAATATATCCTCTATATTGTCACACCCCAAAAATGGGAGTGACTGGCACAGGATATGCACCTAAACACACATTCCTTAAGCCTAATTCAAGAAATGTTTCATTTTGAAAATACTTTTCATTTAAATGAAGCTTTAATATTTTTGTGAAAATTCTAACAAAATTTCCCTTGAGAATAGGATTTCCCTAAAATTTTACAATACAAAATTTTTTAAAGAAATATTATAACATGTAGGAGCTCAACTTCTACCCGCCAACAGACAAAATATCTACAAAGTAAAGGCCAACATACAAATTATCTGCAAAATAAAGACTCTAATCATAGCCTATGTGGAGCACCTATAATGTTATTTATAAAATACAATGTATAAATTAAAATTTCATATAAAATAAAGATTAACCAAAAAGGCCTCACAACTTCAATCGAGTAGCAAAATCCCTTGAAGGATCAGAGGAAGGTACAAGCTATCTGAAACCAAAAATATTTTTTAGTGAATAATGCCCCAACTATGATATTTTTGTAGAATCAAAATGAAGAAACTATAACATTTACATAAATTAAAGAGAAAACAATTCAATGTAAATAAATTTGTAAACATGAAATAAAAGTTCTATATAACTTCAATATCGAGAAACTTTAAATTTATAACAACAAAGTAGTTTTAACATTTAATTTTGACAAATCCAAAATGATTAAATAAATAAATAAATAAAAATAATAACAATTGCTAATTAAAAACCATTAGAGTATGAAATCATCAATTAATTAAAATCTCATACTTTTGGGGATTTATCAGAACAATCCAAACTTGTATTTACTAATTAACTAAAATAATCATTTTTGATAAAATAATTTCACAAATTAAAGTAATTTAATAAACAAAATATCTAATAATCACATTGTTGTTGTAAAAGAATTTGCATAAAAATATAATATTTTGATAAAGAAAATTTTATTGTAATATCACTTGAGATGCTATCCACTTACTTGAAATGTTCTCAAAGTACAGGGCTCTCCTCTTACCACATTAATTGATATTTTTTTCCCAACTCCCTGAATATAGAGTATATTAGGGTCTTAATATACTTATAATAATGCTAAAAACCCTCTTACAACATAACACACACATACACACACAATGATTATAAATTTAAAACTTTAGTATCAAATTATTTGAATTTTTAAAAAATATATGATTGTTGATAAATAATGTGATAATAGCTTTAAATGCTACAAAGCTCTTTTGAGTGAATTGGAAAATTTGTTATGTCAACAAAGAAATGTTCATGTACATTGTAATAACTCACATTGTAATAACTCACAAAAAATATATATAAAAATAATATATATATACACACACACACACTTCTTTAAATAAACTTTTCAAGGCAAACTGATGGTTTAGTGGCAAATATCGTTGTTGTTAAATTTGAGGTCTGAGGTTTGAATCTTTCAGTTGCAAGAGTAGGATTATTTTTGCTTTTCATCCTTTATAAAATTACCATTATGCCCTGGCACCATCAGATATATATATATTTTTTTTTTGCTTCCTCCTCCAATTCAGTTTCGCATGGGATAGCGAGAGAGCAAGAGAGAGGTTGAGATCCAAAAGCTTCTTTCCCCATTCTTCATTTCATCCTTCCACCGTTCCCTCTTGCCACTGTCACCGGTGACCATGGATACTCGAATCCTCTATTCCTTTCATCCTTCCTCCCCTGTTCTTCCTTTGATTTGTGCAAGTGGCCTCTTCTTTCTGGCTCAACGTTGCTATCACCTTGTGTTCGCGATAGTGGGTGCATTAGCATCCGTTCATTCTTGTTCCCCTACTTTTCTTGGTTTGTCTGATGGCTTCCCCTGTTTCTTCGAGGTTTAGTGTCAGTGCTGTGTTTGACCGTGCGTGGCAGTGAGTGCACTGGTTTCATCCTCCATTTTTGCTCAGCTAAATTTCTCTTTTTGCTTCTAACTTTGCTGGTTTGAGGTAGGTGCTTCAGGTCCTATTTTCCTTCACTTATTTTGTACGTGTCTTATTTGGGCTGAGCTGTGAATTCCTTCTTGCTGCCGTTGTGTGTGATAAGGAGATTAAAAGCATGATTTTTGGGTTGATAAATTACTTTTGTGTTGGATGTTGCAGAGAAATAATTTAAATTTAATTTTCCTTGAGTTAATTAAATGGTTGGTGTTGAATGAATAAAAAATTTGGGAAGTCCTCAAATATTGATTTTGGAAACCGTTGGAATGAGATTTGGAGAGAAATAACTTAGAATTTTAGTTTATAGATTAATGCATATAAGATGTTTGATGAAATGCCTAATTAGGAGAATTTGCTATATGATAACAAGATACATATGGTAATTATATTATTGTTAACTAAATAGGAATTAGAAGACAATTCGCTTCAATAGAAGTTAAAAGATGATTAGTTCACATATTTATATAGGACCATCTTTGGAAAGGGAATTTAAGAGGATAGGAACTTGGTTTTATTGTCTAAATATCGTGCAAAGTAAAGGATGTTTGATAAATATTTAAAAGAGAAAATTTTGAATTTTACGTGGCAAAATTTTGAATTCTGATAGATATGTCATTATTGATTAGATAATCCTAAGAGGCATATGTGTTTTGTAATTAAAGTTAAAATAGAAATTTGAGATTTTTGGGAGATATTTGAGTTGGTAATTTAAGGACCAAGTTGCTATTTATATAATTAATTATATTTTTATGTTTCATATAATGTTGAGAAGGATAAAAGTAAAGGTTTTCTTTAGGGAAAATGACAATTAAGTCCCAAAGGATTAATTTTATTTATGGTAAGTCTCAAAACATTCTGAAAGGCCAGTTAAGTCCCTAGGTCCTTGAGTAGCATTTTAATATAATGAGAAATGACCAAAATACCCTTATTTGGCTGATGAAAATTTGAGGTTGCTCCTTCTCTACTCTTCCTTGACCTGTTCGTCGTCTCTTCCCTGTCTCATTGCAAGCGAGTAAAGCTCTTTGTCGTCTCTTCCCTAGGCTATCCAGTAAAGCTATCTGTCATCTCTATTTTAGTTTTGTTTGATGTCTCTTCTTTGCCCTAAGTGATCAGTTGCTTAGGTCATTAATCTGTAATCTGTTTTGGTCATTAATCTTTGATGGGTGTGATACATTTACCTAGCTGAAGAGTCTAATCCTCATCAACATTCACCATTTTGATTATGTAGAAATTGCTTGTTCTTCAATTTTTTCCGAGTGTCTTAGGTGAAGGGGGACTATATAGTTTGTACAAGTGAGGACATGCTTAAATGGATTTTAAGTTTGAAGTTATACATTGTACCCAATTAATCAAGTTTGCAACTTTGTAACTCTGTAATTTGGTTTCACAATTTTATTCCTAACTTCTAATATTGAAACGTATTTGTAATGTTCAAGTTATACATTATACCCAATCAATCAAGTTGCCAAGCAACTTAGGTACCCAGTTTTGCAATTATCTTAAGACAAATTTGCCATTGCTTGTCAAAATTTTGGGTGGAAGAACCATTGAATTCTTAAGAAAGTTATTATTCTAGAACAACGCTTCAGTAATTTGTAATTCAGACACCAGATTTTGCAACTTTCTTATAAATAATTTGCAACTTCTTTTCAAAATTTTGGGTGGAAGAACTATTGAATTCTTAAAGTTATTATTGTAGGACAATGCTCTAGTAATTTGCAATTGAGACACCAGATTTTACAACTTTTTTACAAATAATATGCAACTCCTTCTCAAAATTTTGGGTGGGAGAACTATTGAATTCTTGAACTTGCAAAGCCACCAAATTATTTTAGGACATGGCTTCAATAATTTGCAACTGACATACCAAATTTTGCAACTTCATTACAAAAAATTTGCAACTCCTTCTTAAAATTTTAGGTGGAACAACTTTTGAATTCTTGAACTTACAAAGCTATCAAATTATTTTAGGATAACGCTCCAGTAATTT